GGTGCGAGGGGAGCCGCGGGTCCGGCATAAAAAAACTAGACCAAACTCTGGCCTAAGTAATTTTAGGACGTGTCTAACATATACTGTATAGCATTGTAGGCTAAATATCAGCTGGCAAAACAAGGAACATTTAACTGCCCTTCACTTCTCACAGCTGAGAAAAGGAATGGGAGAAAAGGAGAGGGCGAGAAGTCAAGGGTACATTTTCCCCCTCGTATTCTTAAATAATGACTTGGCCAACTCTTATGAAAAACTGCTAGAAAAAAATGGCTATAATTAAAATGTTGCTAGGAACTGTTGTCAAAGAATGTGTATTTAGGCTTTTGCGTTTAAATGTGAAGCCCTAGAAGTATCTTTTTAACTGCTTGCATTTTCTCCTTTTCCATTTTAAGAGTTACCTGCAAGGTATTTTTTTGGACCTTATCATCTAGAATGTATAGATAAGGCTCTTGATTGGACTAGAAAGTAATGGTTTTTGGAGCAGGGTTTTGTCAGGTTGATTTGATAATAAACGGTAAGCATTGATCTGCTTTCAGAGTTATATGTACATTAAAAAAGCAGTGGGGCATAAAACCAAGGGAGTTTGAAGAAAAATCACTTTTTTTTTCTTTGAGGGAATTGCTATAGCTGATGTTGGGCATGTTTAATCTGGTGACAACTGTGTGTAGCTGTCACGCACATAGCCACTCTGTAGACCACTGCCAGTCTTGAATCAAAATGCAGTAGATAAAGCTTTAAAAGGGATCTGTATTAAAAAAGCAAACAATCATACTGTAAACAAAGGTGATGGCTTATGTGACTTTTAAATTCAAAGTTTTTAAAATTATTTCTATTAAAATGCAGTTAATCATAATTTTATAATCAGTTAGCGAGGAAGTGAGATCAAATATTTGTCATGGACTTTTTTTCCTCTTTCTCCCCCTGCCATGATTTTCTGGGATTATTAAGATCACAATCTGAGTTGTCCACTGCTGTGAGTTTTTTCTTTACTAAGAGAAAAAGTAGCCTCCACAAAATTCCTCTGGCATTAATGAAATGCTTTATTATTGCGTGCATCAGAAATATTTCAGCTGTCTGATTGCTGAAATTATCCTTAGTGGAATTTATTTAGGATAGGCAAGATTTATCCTCTTTGTTCAAGCAAAGGAATGCGTGATGTAAGCTCCTTCAAATACGCTACTACCAGGTAACTTCGATCAGTGTCTGGGCAAGAGTAGGAGTTTGGCATCTACCTGCCCTGTGGGTGAATGTTATGGTGTCTGGCGTCATGTCTGCTGGATCTATTATAATCAGTTTCTATTTGTAGTGAATGAAGTCCTGATTTATACGTGTTAATATCAGCAAAGCCTGTTACAATTAGAGTTTGAATTGAATTGACAGAGGGTACTTTATTTACTTAAGGGTTCAGTAAATTATGTAGCAGGTGCTGAAGAAGAGAAAAACTGTTTTGCTTTGTCGTCTAAATTGTGATGACTGAACTACTGCCAATTTGAAGTAAAATATAATGGTCTTCCTTTTTTTTTCCACTTCCACTTTTTTCACTTCCACCCTTGGTGGAAGGTCAGGAGGTACTGCCGTTGTGCCCCTGTTTGGACTGCCGAGAATGATGGCAATATTGCTACCCAGTGAATCAAGGACACTGCATTAGACAGACAGGGCTATAAACGGCCAATCTACTTTTGTATCGAGGCCTCTTCGCTATAATCAGCTTACGCGCCGTTTGCTTAGTATGCCAAGCAAACCTGCTGTGACAGTGTGTGTATGGTGTCTTATTCACACTGTCCTTTTAAAAGTTTAAGTACTGCTTAGCCACATGCCCACCTACTGTGCTAGCACTGCTGTACATGTAACAGTTTTCCAACAGCTATTTCCTTCTCTGATTTTCTGAACAACAGGTGATCCTTGTGTATTTGAGCCTGAATTATGGGATTTTTTGACAAGCTAGCGGGATGGCTTGGGCTGAAGAAAAAGGAGGTTCACGTTTTATGCCTTGGCTTGGACAATAGCGGCAAAACAACCATCATAAATAAACTTAAACCTTCAAATGTAAGTAGCCTACTTGGTTCACTGATGATGTTTCTACTGCAGAGTTGATGTTTGTTTAAACTGGTTTTGCGTGCTGTTATACCAAATGTGACCATGGGAAAGATGTGAAGAGCTTTTTGATTTAGTACAGTGGAACAAATATAGTATAAGGATTTCCAACTAACTAAAACTAAATGTAAGCATCCATATATTATGAAAACATTTCCCAAAAAACTGCTGTTAATATGTTGATAAGATCACCCAATAAGGAAGGGTTTATGATGGCTGAAATCAAGATCTGAAACAGTTTTCTTAAGTCACTTAAATAATTGCTCCTGGATTGCAGTTACCAGTAGTGTGTCGAACATTTGGGATTAATACAGTTGTATAACAACTTGTACTTGTCTACATTTATTATGTATATTTTAATCTCTTCCTGAGAAATAATAGGTATATTATAAGTAATAAAATAGGAAATAATGTGAAGATGCACACTTAATGGTGACTTCAGCATTTTTAAAGCAGAATAGCTTTCAAAATAAGTAGCATTTATACTTGCAGTTCATTCATCCAGTGAAAAGTATTTCAGGCAACTAAGAGTGCATAGTATTCTGAGCAAGACTTAAAGTAGGATTTCCTTGTTTCTAGGTATGTTTATGGAATAGAAATTGATGAATTTTGGTAGGTGTGTTCAAAGCCAGAGGCTTGTGCATCTTGGTTATATGCATCTGGGAAACGGTGATTTCTGCTGTTTACATCAGGACACAGCTTTTGGTTTTTAATTTCCATTTAACTTTTCCTGAAGAGTACCCACTGGACATTGTTTAAAAAATGTAACATGGTAAAGAGTCTGCTACTCTTCTATTCTTGGCAATTATTCTTCCACTGAAAATCAAATAGATTTATAAATAAAGACTATAAACTGATTACTATCTGCTGCCAGTCATTTTGGGGGAAAGGTACAATTTGTACCAGGCAAATGATATATTTACTTAATTTTTGAGGCCTTTATTGTAGCAGGGTTTCTATGTCATGCCTTAAGCAGTAAAGAATTCCTAACTAGACTTGAACACAGACTTCGAGATTTATCACAATAATAGGTACTGGAGAATGTCCTAAGGAAATTACACAAGTAGAATAAATAGAATTTGTTTGCTTTACTGTAAGTCGTGTAATGAGAATTAACCTCTGAATGTTTTCATTTAATGTGATGCTTTAGGAGGGTAGCTTTGCATACAACTTGTGTAAGTCCTGTCCTTGCAAGACATGACAAGTTCTCTAATGTGCAACAAATGTCATTAGATCAGACTTGATGAAATTGTTTATTTTTAGTAAGTTCAATGGACAGATGATTTTGAGCTCTGGATCAACCCAGTCTTCTTAAGAAGAACTGCTACTTTGCCCTAGGAACAATATATTAAGTGTCTGGCAAATACGAGTGTTTCTGCATCTGTTTGCAGTTGTTTCTTCTGGGTCTGATCAATACATTTGAAAAACATAAAGAAATAACACCTCTTCTGCTCCACGCAAATTTTCCCTCAGTGACAGGAACTGTTGACTGAAGTGTTTACAGGGGGAGGAATGCCATTTTCATAATGCAGCTGCCAGTCAACAAGCTAAGCTTGCTTCAGTTGTGTGTGCGGAGTCAACTGCTTATAGATCATGTCTTTAATAAGTCTGTAAAAGAATTGCACGTCACTTTCTCAGACAGCTCTGTAATCTAAGGAATGTGACCCTTCGCCCTGCTCAATATCGATGTTGCTTAAAGGAGCTATTCTGTTGTACCAACTTAGTTGATAGGTTCCTTGGCTAGCTCCGCAGTAAATCTGGTTATCAGACTGATCTATTAATAATGCTTTATGTTTTGGACGTTCCTCTGTGGTAAATGGTGATTTCTTCCAGTGGGCTTGTAGTTTGACCAGAACTATGGTTAGGCCATTGCGTAATGTCTGCTGTATGATGCCCAATGTCAAATAAACTCCTCCAGCCTGTGGATAGAAGCTGGGAGTGTGGCCAATCTAATATCTTGATAGAATCGTCTTTTATCTAAGAGGCTTGGAGTATTGTGCGGACTTGTTTGGGTTGACATTGTGATTTCCAAAGTGCACAAATATTGTGAACTTTGGCCTCAGTCATAATCTTCAAGCTGTTATCTTCCATGTTAACCTATCTCCTATTTATTTCATAGGTAATATCCACACATACATGTACGCGTGGACTAATGTAAAGAGTGGAATCTCAGTCTTGAGGCTAAAATGCTCTTGTCCAATAACGTTCACCGTATTTCCTAGAAAATACGAAACCTTGATTTTTGAATTACTGTACTTTTCTGGGAACTTTTTTAATATAAAGTGTCTGGGTTTGTAGGAAGTTTTTTGTATTGCATAGTGGAGGAAAAATAGATCTGTAAATGTATTCATGTTTCAAATATATTTCAATATTTACATTTTCTAACTTGATTGCAAAATTTGTACTTTCTTTCCTTTTAAAGGCTCAAACTCAGGACATCGTTCCAACAATAGGGTTCAGTGTAGAGAGATTCAAGACTTCAAGGTAGTGGTTTCTTTCATTTTCTCTATTTAGCAGTAGTAATTAATACACAATAGTTGGACTTAACTACCTCTTTCAGTGGTGGTGTAGTGACATGACATGCAGTTTGCTGAAGTGTTGTAGTACCCAGGAGTCCTAATCATGATACAGGACTGACAGTGTTAGAATATATTGTATGTTTTGTGCTGCTATAAAACTATGTATGTTTTTAAAAAGAAAAAAAAAATTTTTTTCAATAGTGTATATAAGCATTTGATTTCTCTCTGTTAAGAATTTCAGAATAGGGCACTGTTACAGACTTAAGGAGAGACAGTTGCTTGGATGGTAACCTATATTCCATTAAGCACTCTCACTGGAGGGACTCTGAAGAGATTGCAGTCTAATCCCGTTAATTGAAAAATGGTGGCTACAGCGTTAGCAATGTAAAGATGGCAGGGGCAAAGGTCAGGAAAAGGAGGAAGAGGTAATTCGTTGCATGAAGACTAAGATTTAGAAAAGGAATGTCGCGAGACAAAGATACTTCAAGGACGTAACGTTAAATACGATTTTTATTATTCTGTAGCCTTCACAGTGTATTTTTAATGGATGCAGTTAGACTTCCAACCAAGCAGCATGCACCAGTGGATGACAGATCTGCAAGAAAATTGTTATTCCTTGAGCTGATGCGTGGGACTGATAGGTTTCCTGTTTTTGTAGGAGGCTAACAACTGTATTCTATCTCAGTAAAGCACATAACGTAAATCGATTTATATTCCTTTCCTTTATTCTGATCCTGTAGTAGGAGAGATGACCTGCAAATACACCATGTAGAATGATTAAAAAACCAAACAAATCCACAATCCACTCCCACCCCAAAAGCTCATTAATCTAATATTACAATCAAAACCTTGTTTCGGTGTTGCTAATAACTTTATACATGGCAGAGCAGCTAGTCTAGACTCATATGATGTCTGGATATAGAGTGGAAAGGATGTCTGGAGAGCTCCCTTTTCTAAACCGCCTCCTTTTGGTCTGGCCTCTACTCAGGGAGGTATTTAGGACTATGTGAAACAGGAAAGCCTGATACTGAAGTCAGTGTTGCCTCTGTAGGCCTTTCAGGAGTGGATCAGAATTTTTTGTAATGTTCTTTAGGTTGACTTGATGTATTTAGCGTTTGGGTGAAATCTCAAACTTGCGAAGACTACCCTTTGTAGCTTCGTCATCTAAGGTAACCTTTTATTATCAGAGTGTGATTTTTTCCTAGAAGTGGAATTAAATTTTTAAAAAAAAAAAACAAAACAAACTTTTATTTTGCATACAGAAGCCTTGGGATGTTATTGGTGCCTTTCTAGGGACAGAATTTAAGACAGGCTGTGGATTTTAAGTCATGACTCATCTGAATTTCATTTATTCAACATTATAAAGAATATTCGATACTAACATGATTAAAAGGAGAGGCTGAGTGGGAGCTTATTTTGTATTTGATGTAACTTTTTATAATTGGTTTGGTTCTTTCATTCAGAGAATAAACAAACATGTTTGCCATTGTGAAATAGTTCTATAATAAGACCTCAGAACTGGGTAGGATAGCTTGAAGGCAGATAGAGTAACCAGAGTTCCTTTGGGAATCTTTCTCAGTTGATTAGAATTCAAATTGATCTGGCTTTTTTCTGTCAGGGTGGCAAAGAAAATAGTTTGGGTTTGGGTTTTGTTCGTTTTTCTCTGCTTCATATACTTCTTGTCTTTGCAGTTTGTCTTTCACCGTGTTTGATATGTCAGGTCAAGGGAGATATAGAAACCTCTGGGAACATTACTACAAGTAAGCCTATCATTTATTTTAAAGCATTGCTGTTCATATTAGCTGTCATGTACGTTGTTTAAGCAGAAGTATGATCATATTCAGTGGTTAGAAATGATTCATAGAAGACTTATACCTAGTGTTTGACAGAAGGTCATTCTGGATAAATACAACTTTCCTTCCTGTTCTAAAAAATGAAAATTTTTATGTGCTGTTAATCAGCATGTTTTTGAGGACATCTTGTTGACTTAAAGTTTGCGGGAGCATACTAGAGATGGGATTTAAATGTTGAAACCTGAAAACCAATCCTGTAAGAAAGCACCAAAATGAGTCAGGTTTCCTATTTTTCTGTTCGTCTGTACGTAAGTGACTTAAGACCCAAACGACACTGGGTGATGGCTGAGAATTTTAGACATGAGGGAAATTAACCTCAGATAATGAGGCACATGTAACTGAGAACTCGACGAAGTATTCTTAGATGTTATTTATTAAGCAGGATATTCACTGTACTTGATAACACTGTGGTATTACCTTATTGGTAATAGACACCATTTTCTGTTTTCCTACCTTCTTATGAAACTTAAATCTTCATTTTTGTTGTCTGATTGTTATTCTGTAATACCTGATGCTGACCAAAATAAGGTGAACAGTGATAAACCACATAGAAATCGCTTGGAGAAATAGAAGGGAGAAATTCTGAAGATTATAATATTGATAGTGATAGAACTTAAAGTATTCTTTAAATGAGGATTAACACTTCATCCCCTTTCTGTGCAAAATATGTGTTAGCAATTTGAAAACTTGTTTTGTGGGTAGGAGATCTTCATTGTTCAAGAGTGTTAGATGTATGTCTCCCAAATATTTTGGATTTCAAGAACTGATGCCCTTGTGCTGCTCTCAAAATGCTGTCCGAATGCTTCATAAGTAAATAATCTTTCTGACTCCTGTATTTAATGCAGTAACTTATCCTTTGTGCGGCATAAACGGCTTTTTCCATCTTAATAGTAAGGGAGTTTCTTAGGTAATGCTGACAGTGAAATGTGCATTTGTATCCCCCTCTGTTCCTGATCCAGTGCAGTAGTCACACATTTAAGATTAACTTCTAAGAAGAATATAAAAATAATAATGTGCTGTTCAGTTTTTAAAGTTAAGCAAGATTTAATTTTGCAAGAATTGCAAACTGGCAATCAAATCTGATCAAGTGTCTAACTAGTTGCTTTGGAGTACTTGAAGCTTGCTGTTTTTTTCTTTTTGGCTTGAAACTATCTTCTAGGATGTCCTCAAAGTACACTTGTCTTCAGCATATGTAAGCTCATGTCGTGTCCCTGTTGCTGTTACTTGTTTGTGAAGTTATTTCTTGGTAGTAAATATATGCTAGAACTCTGATGCCTCTAGAAAAATACTGTATGCTCCTAAAAATTACTTGGGCATTTTCAGCTAATATGCAAAAGCTTTATTTGCTGTTTCAAGTTCTTCTATGCTGCAGTAAAGAACGGACCTTCTCTTATGCTGGTCAAGTTATTTCTGTTTTTCAGTAGGTCTAGGACTGTTTCTTACCAAAATACAAAGGTAGATGGTGCTGGGGGGGTGGAGAATGTATCTGCAATGGTCTCTGAGAAATGTAAAACAAAGAAGCAGTGAAGGTTACATTAAAATGTAAATTCAAAATACTTTTTGCGGGTGTTTATAACTGTTCATCTGAATTGGTCAGACTTTATTTTGCTTTCAAATAAGTTTCAATAATTGGACCATCAAGTCATAAAATACCAGTGATATCCTGAAATAAAGAGTTGAGTAGTTGTATGTACGTTGTGACTGTGGTCATATTGCCAGCAAAATGTCTTAATGATTTGAAATAATGGGAAGGTTTTACTGTTATTCAAAAGAAAGATCTTGTTTATGCAGACTTTTGTAAAAGTTAAATTAATCTGTGTATGCCTAGTTGTTAAACAGCTGTGGGCACGCAGTTTTTTCTAAAAAGGTAATTGACCTTTCTCTAAAAGCCTGTCTCGAGATTTTCTTTGTCTGACCACACTGTCAGAATAGCAGTTGGTTACATTTTCAGAGTTCATTTTTCAGCCTCAGTAGTGAAATCAAGCTTTTCTGAAGGGTCTGTGTAGACTGAACCTTGCATGAGTCACGCAGCTAAGAACCTCATGTCTCAGAAAATTACACAGGTTACCAAAAGATTGAATTTCAGATACAGGACTGGATTTGAATGTTAATGGCAAATAACAACAACAAAAATTAGAGGGGGGGGGAATCAGGTTTGTTTGCTTTGTTTTGGTGTTTCTTCTGAAGCCTTTTCTTAATCACCGAGAACCTATCATTTGCCTCTTTGCTCTTTTTATGTTATGCAGAGAAGGTCAAGCGATTATTTTTGTTATTGATAGCAGCGACAAATTAAGAATGGTTGTGGCCAAAGAAGAACTTGACACCCTCCTGAATCATCCAGGTGAGGAGGCTTTTTTTCCCCTTCTGTCTCCATATTTGTTACATTGTCTTAAGAAAAGCACTTACCTGACACATTCTGCATTCTGAGTACTTTCCAAATATTTTAACTGTTCCTGAATACTAGAACAGTAATAGTCTTCAATAAGTCTGGGTGGGTTCTTATTCACAGACTGATCATACTTCAGTTGGCTACACTGGATTGGCCTCTTATTAATCAATATAGATCAAAAGTTGCGTTGTTTTGAGGAAGAATAGACTTTGACCCTTTCGAAGCTGGAGAGCCTGTGTGTGATGACAAATACATACAAAAAAAGTATCTCCCTGTCTGGATTTTTTCCATGAAGACAGCTAATTCCTTTAATGTAACTTCTAATTTCTTATTTTCATCTTCATTATCTCATTATCTCTCTTTTTTTTTTTTTTTTAAACTTTATTCTTTAACCAGAAGTAAGGAGGAATAATTATAGGCAATTGAAACTGGCTGGTATAGAAGGATACATGGGGTGGAAAAGGATTCATGGTCGGGAGGTTGGTTTTAGGGGTTTTGTTTGTTTTGGCTTTTTTACATGAGGCTACCCTTTTTTAATCAAGTTCTAAGATTAGTCAATTCTTAGCTACTTCACCCTTCCATATAGCAAATATTACTGGGATGTTTTTGTAAGCAATGTACAATTTTGACTTTCAGCACTTTAGGTAGTTGCTCTGACTAACCAGGTTATAAAAATACATGCAGGAAATCTAAACGTGAAATAATCTTCTAATTCCTTATTTATTTATTAAGCTGGTAGAGTCTTAACTTGTGGGGTTACCATGCTGAAAGTAAGAAAGGAGAAGCTGACTTGCATTTCTAGCCAAGACAAGTAGTATGCGATAGGGGCAGTGACGTTACTATGATTTTATTTTCCATGGAGACTGCGTGTAGTACATTAGTTCTTCAACAAAGATGCTGTAGCTGAGTGTGCATGAGCTGACTGGCCCCTCACGTTCAAGGGCATGGGCCGCCTCAAATGCAGACACTGAGAAGAATCTTGCAAAGGTCAAAGGGGAAGATGAGGTGAACCAAAGGCTGGAGGTGGATTACATAGAGGCCGGGGAACTTTGTGCCAAAGCAGGTATTAACCACAGTGGTAAAAGGTGATACTGTTGGTAAAATGGAAACCGCATAGGACCAAGGGTGGGAGGTAAAGACTGCTGTAATATTTATTAGAAGGCAAAAGAGTGAAAATGTTAAGACTGAGAGGATGCAAGCTTAGGTGGGGCTTTTCATTTAGGCATTAATAGGTTATTAATGCTGATCTAGCAGGTCAGCGCTGTTCGGTTGTTGATGTGTTTGTGCCTTCTAGTTCTGAAAGACCATGACTGTGGCCACCAAGTACCTTGCCTAGAACCAGGGAAGAGCAGTTGGGTGTTTCTGCCTTGGAGCAGCTCAGTGCAAATGCAGCAACAGTGTTCTTGTTTTATCGTTTTTGGATTTTGATAGGTCACATCTAAGAGAACCAAAGAGAATGAAAAGTTCTTCTGGTAGTAATGTTTGATAAAAGTAACTGTTAACTGAATCAAGATATAACTGTTTTACTGTATCAATATTTGTATTGCTGTTCTGCTTTTCTTCCTGCATACCCTACTTTCTCCCCATCTATGCTTCTGCCTCTCTGAACCTCCTGAAGCGGTCTAAATTTACATGTTTACTGACGGTTTAATTGGATGCAGGGTAACAACTTTGAATCAATTCCTGTCTCTGAAAAATCTTCGCAAGCCTTCAGTAAAACAGTTCCCTCGCTTTTTGCCAGACTTTGCCTGAGGTTGTCAGGTGAAAGGGAATATGTACTGCGAGGCATTAATGGGGTTAGAAGTTGCACTAACTAGGACTGTTTTGTGAATCTGAACTATAAATTATTTTTACGTACATAAGTGGACAATGCGCTCTACAAATAATGGCTTGTTTAGTGATCACTGTTATCATACTATTTTTTTTAATCAAACTTCATTTTTCAGCATTTTGCAAGATTGTAGTCTGCAGATTACTCGTTTTAGATATTGACTGTTGGGTCACTTGACCTCTAGCACATGCTTCTAAAAGAAACTGAAATCTCTGTAAATTTGAAATTATTTGTATAAAATTATACATCACACATATCTAGTGTCTGGTATTTTTTTTTTTTAATGTATTAACTTGTAGGTACTTGCACCTAGAAAATGTTAGCTTTCCATTAATAACTAAAAAGTTGGGGGAGGGGGTGAATACTGCATACAATAGCATAAAGTAGGAAATAAGGTGACTTTCTGTGACCACCACTTTATTTAGCAAACCTCTTTAAGTGCGCATTTATGAGTCTGTGTGGGTAGGTTGTGCCCCTTTTTAATTGCTTTAAAAAAACACTGAAAATTCCTTGACTGACTTGGCTATTTGCATATGTGATGTCAACTAATTCCTGTGGGTTTGATTTATCCATAACCTGCAACCTGTGGGTACCCGGGTTCATTTAATTATACGATAGATTAATGTAGAAGTTTCCATCAGGAGACACAAAAGGTGTTCAACTGTGGCATCAAACCAGAGATTTAATGATACTCTGTGCTTGTATTTTGAGGCCTTTGATTTGTGTTAGAGGATATCAGAGGGAAAAATAGCTCCAGATAGGGTAAATAGTTGTGAAAATTGCCAGCGTTTTGGTCAGCACTGGTGATCTCTGAGTAGGGTAGATAATGTTGTCACCACTGATTTTGAGAAAAGGTTCAGTAGGGGGTTTGAAAACAATGTAAATAGGAAGGTTCAAACCACTTCAGTGTTGACAGTTTGTTGGTTTTTTGGGGTTTTTGTTCCTTCCCCCCGCAAGCAGGGACAGCTAGCTTATGTTTGAAGTTTTTCAATAAATCCTTAATTTGTTTCCTATGTCAAATAACCTTTTTGTTTTTACTATTTAAAAAATAGCCTGTATAGCAGTTTTCATTGGGAGGGAGGGCTTAAGTTCTTTTCCCATTAAGAACTAATAGACTCAAATCTACATTTTCTCTAATCCTGTAATTCATCCTTTGTTTAAATAATGTGAAAAATTCTCACAGTTAGTCTTGATGCTGGTAATTTTTTGGCAGTTTTACATCTGTCAGGTTGAAGAGAGTATACTTTATTTCTTTCCAATGACTCTCTAGTCTTTTGTGGTAGTTGGCGAGGCTTGTGCTTTCGAATGTGTAAGAATGCCAGAAATTGCCAGGGTGCTTGGTCTGGCCTGTAGTTCTCACCACTAGCTGAGAAGAGCTTCTGGAAAGGAAGGCCTCCTCCAAGTGAAGGCAGGATAAGGATGTCCAGACATGTGCTTTTTTTCCCTATTTTATCAGTTTTATGAAGTCGTGGGTACTCTCCAGGATGCTAAAGGATAATTCAGACTACCCTTATGCGACTATTGTTGTGAGGTTATGAATGAACACAAATCATTTTTCTGTCCATTTTACACATCCAGTCCTCGCTAAGCAGAGATGTGTAGTATTTGTGGGCAGCTGTTTGATCTCTTGTTCCTCAGCTTTGCCAGCAATTTATACCTATAGATTTAAATGTACGTATAAGGTAGGGGGAGAGGGGGTGGAAGATCTCAAAGCCTGCCAGAAAGTTTGTGAGCATTCTTGAAGCATGTTTCAGAGGCCATGTGACCCAACGCTGTGCATCTGGGTAGGATACAACCTTCAGAGAATTGCAGTTACAGGTGAGCAAAATATCTTCCTGTGTTGTTTGTAGCTTTTTACATGTAGAGATTAAGAAGTGTTGCGTAATGTCATGATAGTTTTATTTCTGCTCATGCCTAGATATTAAGCACCGTCGACTGCCTATTCTCTTCTTTGCTAACAAGATGGACCTCAGGGACGCAATATCATCTGTGAAAGTATCTCAGTTACTGTCGCTAGAAAATATCAAAGACAAGCCCTGGCATATCTGGTAAATTTACCTTTTTCTACCCTTTTATTGGTATTACTTCGTACATTCATATTTTAGCTCTATCATGCCACTCAGTATTACAGAACATAAATTAAATCAACCAGATAAAACACTGTGCTGCCACATGTGGATACAGTAGTAATATTACAATACTTGCTATGAAACTTGTTGTAAATGCACAATGCATTCAAGTAGACTGGGTCTTGAAAACTTTCACAATAGAACTGTTACCCAAATAATGAAATTGGGGACTTGTAGTGAAATCAAAAAAGCGGTGTTCTTGTCAGAAGAATAGCTGCTATTAGTTTTTGCTGGGAAATTGAGCAGAATTGTTATCAGAGTGCTGCTGCTAGTTTGTCTTGCAGGTTTCAGAATATCAACAGTAAAACCTTTAGAGTTGTGTTTTTCCACTCTGCAGATGCTTTAGGAAACTACTGTTGAAAGGCCATTTAGTAAACTCTTCTCATGTGAATTCAGAGGGACACTGTACTCTTTGTACCATGTTATATTTGAGGGGATTTTTAGTTATACGAGCTTAGTGTTTTTTCTTTCTGAAGGATGTAAGCTTTCAAATAAATAGAAGGATTCTGTGCCAGTGTTCACAAGGGAAAAAAAACTTTCCTTTTATCAGAAGTGTTTTATAGAAGTTAGATTTTTGTGTTATTAAAGTCCTCAGATACTACAAATAAAAGTGAAATCAGCAGCTAAATGCTGCTGAAAACTACAGTTTTCATTTTAGGCCCTTTAATATTAAACTTGATTACCTGGACGTTTTGGGGTCACTGCTTTTTGTTCTCCGAAATCACACTGATGAATTCCCAGGCTCCTTGGAAGATAATTTTATAGCTAACCACAGTAATAGTCAGATTCACTGTTGTGTTAGTTTTCATAAGCTGAAGAATGAGGGGCCTTTAAACAGTTATAGCCCTGCGATTCAAAAGGTAGAGTTACACTGTTTTCAGTGTAGCTTAATATTAATATATATTAACAGACACTGCTAGGGTTGCTCTTACAATGAAGTGTTTACGCTTTCTTCCTCCAGTACTCCAGTGTTCTTGCTGTGTATAGGAACTGCCTGGGAGGACAGTTGGACTCAATGATCTTAAAGGTCTTTTCCAACCTAAACGATTCTATGATTCATAGTGGTTGTTGTAGGTAGTAAACATCTTTTATAGCATAGTCTGAGGAGGGAGTTATCTAAGCGGAGGTGCCGCACAACAACGTGGCTGCCTTGTGTGGGAGCTCCACCAGAAAGCCTCATGCTCTGGGAATGATTCCTCTGCCTTGAAACTGGAATTTAAAGAGATCACATCTTGAAATGGTGTTTCCATGTTGGGAAGGTACTCTAGAATATATCATTTGGGAAGCAACCTTCTCCACATGAAGAAAACTTAAGTAAACTGTACTTGATGCTACTTTGCCATTCTGTTAATTACAGGTATAGTGATGACTCCACTAAAACTGGTATTTTTCACAATGTTTTTGTAATTTGATTTGTTTCTTTCAGTGCCAGTGATGCTCTTAAAGGAGAAGGATTACAAGAAGGTGTGGATTGGCTCCAAGGTATATCATATGTAATTCTCTTGCTCTATTTTCATTCTGGTAAACTTTTTCATTTTGTAAGGTTTTTTCTTTATTATTTCCTTTCTTTTCTTTCTGTCCACTTCTGCTGTCAGATCAAATTACACAGTAAGTACTGATGCTCTGTCTCATGTTTGCCTCTCATTTAATTCCTTAACATACACAAAAGATCACATCAGTTTCTCTGACAAAAGTGTGCGCTATGAAATATTAATGCATACTCTTGCAAACAGTGTTAACACTTTCTTATAGACAATAATACCAGCTCCTGCACTTCCATTTATTATTGTGGTAGTTCAGTTTGTTCTTTAATTTATTCATACTGTCCTGTCCCAGTTTTACATAACTTGATGTTATGTATCAGGAAATGGTGAATAAGCAGGCTAGAAAAATAAGCAAAGTACACAGACAAATACACTAGTTTTGATTATTCAACTTCAGTTCTTTAATCTAGAGCCAAAAGAAGAACAGCTTACACTATAACAATCATAGCATATGCAGACACTCATAACTACACAGAAAATATCAGATCCAGCTTAGATGATGGATGACATACAGGTTTTTAATTACAAACTTGGTATGGATGCTGTCTATCCTTCCGTTGTACATTGGTAAGGATCTGGTCTCTTTTGTCCTCCCGCAAACTGCTAAATGTATAGAATAGCAAAGTGTGGTATTGTCTTGGTAGACTCACTCTAATTTTAGCTCCCTAATTTACATTGCTTACGTTGTGAGTGTATTAGGTAGCGTAGTATAATTTGAATCTGCAAGACGGTTTCTCTGTCCTGGCTGGTGTTCTGGGCTGTGGCAGCCACTAGATGTCAGCGATGTCCCAGAGTCAGTGCCACTAAAGCCATTGCCTTCCAAATAAGAGGCAACATTGTCCCTGCTTTAACATCTCTCCATTTCTCTATGGATACCAGACTGTCCTTTCTACTTAAAATCCTTACTGCTAATTAGAAAGAGAGATGGTTTCTTTCACGGTGTTATTACAGAATACAAAAACCTTTGATCATGTTTTCAGAGGAAGCGATGCTAGCCGAAGAGAGTCTCTACAAAGAGGTTTACTGCCCTACAGAACAGTGATGCATCCTCCACCATCTAAAAGAATTCTGTGGTGGGGAACCAGCATCTTACTACTGAGTTTCCTCCACTGCTGTATCCTATTATTATAGAGGCAGATTCCAAAACCCATACTTTTTCCTAATTTCAGGCATAGTTCTAATTTTGTAATATTTTCCTGTGATTTTTCAGGGTCTCTGCATATCTTTGAGGAACCTTTTAAGTTTCAATCCAAATCTTGAGTTGCTGGTTTTGTGTGTAGCTTCAAGCTACTTAAAAGGCTCTCAAATGCTTGTCTAGATATTTTCTGACAAATATGTAGATTTTTTTCAAGCACAGTAAGCAGGTGCTTCTGCTGTCACTCACTTACATAGCCCTTCACAGCTCTTCACTTCTCATGGGTTGTCAAACTTCTTAATTTTCTGAGCTGAAACTCTTCATAGATGGGCTTTATCTAAAAATTTCCTTTAACTCTTTGTCTCAGTGTCCCGAAAAGCTTAAGAGGGGTTGGGTTTAAACTGTATTGTTACCTAAGCACGTGCAGTTTGGCAGTTATAGCTTTAACGGATGAAGACTTTGATATTTCAAGAACAAATCTTTACTATGATTCTCTTCCTCGTCCCTTGAGCACTAGATGGAAATATTTGGAACGACTCTTAAGCTATAGTGGTCCCTAAATACAGTCTGTGGATGCCATAAAGTTGAGTGAAGGAAATGACACCTGGTTAACAAATACACGGTTCTCCTTGCCAACAGCCATGTTTTTCTTAGTTACCTTTGGCAGGCCTATTACAGGTAGTTCACAGATTTGGGGTGGCAGGGGCAGAAGGTTTTGCCTTTTTTTCCCTAGTGAAGGCTGAGTTTCCCTATTTCCCTACTTTGTAACAGGGTTACTACTGCAACAACACTAAAACCTATCTCATAACAGTCTAAGCCCAGCTCATATTCCCTATTAGTGGGGGAAAATGTGCTGATTTCTGCATTTTGTAATGGGGATGTGGTACATTTATGCTAACTACAGAAACGTTTGAAGTGAATTGAGAAGTAGCAATCAGGCAGCAGTATGGAGACGTGTGGTTACTGAGAGCAAAGGAGTTTTCATGCGAGTTACTCAAAACCAAACATTAAATCCTTTGCTGTTGGGATTTAGTTCACGTTCAGTTATGTGGAAGCTGAAATGCGTACAAGGAATTGAAATATGTACCTCATAAAGTAAACTTCCCAGCCTTATTCTCATCAAAGTTACCTTATAAGCCCAAAAAAGATAAAAAAATTGAATTATGTGGAAGAGTCTTCCTGTTTTAATTAGCAACATTTGGGGGAAACAACTTGGCTGTGGAGGAATTTCAGAAGTGGACGAGAGATCAAGTTGAAAACAACTCTAACCGCATTGTCCCCCATTCTTGTAACTACACCAAATTATCTATTGGTATAGTTCTGTAACCTGGACGCTACTGAGTTATGTTTTCAAAAAGCAAAATACAGCAAGAATTCATCTTGTGTTAAGACTAGCTGTTTCTTTTTATTGACAGATCAGATCCAAGCAATGAAGACGAGAGATAAATAGAAGATGTATGGCGTTCTTTTACAAACTCTGGCAGCAGGTGTACAAGTTCCTTGGAAAGAGGAATCTCCTTTGTTAGAGATGATGGCAGATGTTTTTAAGGATCTGCTTTTTATGAAATAGCATTAATTGTTGTTGTGATATGCCATGGTTATATTTGCATTCCCATCAGTAAAACTTCAAATATACAACATGCCATGGTTTGTTTTTTTAACTTAAATATGTTCATTGATGGTCTTTACATCTTAGAGAATGTTGTTTTTCTGTTAGTTTCATTTGGAATTTGTTTGTCCATTTTCCAATGGAAATAGCACTGTATACTGTAATAAAATGGTATCTCTTTTGCCAAGCTTTTTTTAATTGCGTGTGTTTGTTACACTTTCTAGTGTAACATAAACTGGGCTGCTCTTCCAGATATTTAAGGAGCATATGGGCGAAAGTTATATTTTTTGAAACGCAGTTAAGGGACAGTTCACTAGTTTACTAGATCATTGATATGAAACGTGTATTATACTTCTGTGCTGTATAAAACCTGTTTTACTTTCAAGAATAATTTTTAATAAACTTTCTGACTTCAAAGGTGTACAAATTAAGCCAATGCTAAGAACTTTATTTTTGTCATGCCACCTCTTCCCCTTTAATCCCTCCTCCCAGAAACAAGCAGACTGGCACTGGGAATGCTGAAGACTGTATTTAACTGAGTGATTAGCTGATTCCTGGGGGAGATGTAATATGTAGGTGTTGCAAAAGCTTTTTTTTCTCCCCCTTTATTAGCATATAAAACACACAAATGTTCTGTAAGCATGCCTTCTAGGCTTTACTTAATAGAGGAATAGTTGGAGCAAAGGGACCTGCCTAAAACGGTAGAACAGTTTCATGTACTTTCAGTTATTATTAAACAGTTAATTTTAACTCCACTGCTTTGCTAGAGGGAACTAAGTCTCACTGTAAAAAATCTTTCTTACAGGATGCTGTAATTCTGACAGTTCAGTTTGTCATGAAGGTATTTATCTGTCATGTCTCTTTCTGTGACACCTTTGGCCTTCTGTCAACTCTGAATCTAAATATCTATACGAAATCAAATACAAAGGAGGAAAAGTCATATATAATTTGGAGATGTTTTTCTAACTGAATTGTGGAGCAGATAATTTTCTGGTTTACTTTGCACTGGATAATACGGTAACAAAAATGATAATTGTTGGAAACATTTTGCCAAGTAGAAGGATCTTGTAATTATTTTGGTTCACTTACATGGCTTATTTAAATGAAACATTTAATTTTAAGTTGGCATTAATTTTTTTTCTACCAAAGAAAATTTAAGTTCTTGCATAGAATCTGTCTGCGTTCCTGACTTTCTTGAATAATCTGAACCTTGACGGCTTTCTGATTTTTTTTTTTTTTGTTTATGTTGGACTGAACAAAGTACTATGTTTATCTTGGGAATTGCCTTTACTCTCACAAGAAGCTGTTTGAACCTACTCCATTGTTCTTCCACCCACAAATCTGAGGAAAGTACCCTCTTTTATTTTTTACTTTTTCATGTGGTTCGTAAGCCCTTTTTGAAAACAATACTCTCACAAGAAGCTGTTTGAACCTACTGCATTGTTCTTCCACCTACAAATCTGAGGAAAGTACCCTCTTGTCTTTTATTTTTTACTTTTTCGTGTGGTTCGTAACCCCTTTTTGAAAACAGCAGTTAGTTATTTATGTTGATTATTGTTCCCTTTCTTGGTTTTTTTTGTTCTGGTTTTTGTCTTCAGCAGCTCTTTTTAAGTTAGTTATTTATGTTGATTATTGTTCCCCTTCTTGGTTTTTTTTGTTCTGTTTTTTTTGTCTTCAGCAGCTCTTTTTGTTCCTCTCCTACCAGGGCACTGCGCTTGGATGGAGACCTGTTGGAAGGGGTGGGAATGGGGACATTAGTGAAATGCTTGATTTTTGGGAGTTTCTTGGTGTGTTTTTTTTTCCATTACTGCTTCAGCCATTAGTTGTCTCTCACTTCTAGAACATTTGTGATCGTTCTGTAAATATAAAACTACCGGAGGGATGTCTGCATGTTCACCTAACATAGGCATAGGTCCCTAACATACACAGTTGCTAGAGCCTTGAGTTGAATAACGTTGAGTTGAATGATGTTTAATTTGGTACACGCATCATGTGTTGCACGAAAGCCTCATGCATCTCTGCAAAAAGGCTTCTTTGGAGTTGTTTTCTGAGGGCCCAGTGGCTGTCGGTCTTCAATGCTGTTCTCCCATTACTTTTAGGATGTTAAAAGAATTGGAGTAAGGAGTTCTTCTTGGATGCTCCAAGACAGTTTGCATGTACGAGTTCATTGTGCCTTAAGAACAAAGCAGACAAGTTCCTTTGGAGGCTTAAATGAGACTTGCAGAATATTCCTTTTTCCTCCGTGTTACTATAGGTGTATGCATTAAGTGAGAACCTGAAAGGCAATAGAGTGACTAAAAGAGACACCGAGAGAGTTTGGTCTTTACACCCCAGACGACGATACGTGCTGGTGCTTCTGTGCACTAAGCACACTGCCCTTCGTATTCATGAATTTCCTTAAAATAAGCCTGGGAATGCTTCAGACCATAGCATTTTCAGCTGAAAGGTGAGGCAGTCATTCTCACGTACAGAGTGTTGCCTCCTACATCTCTTCTTTATCAAGTAGGGGCTATCGGGGAAACATGTGAATCCTAATTCTCTCTAGCCTTGCCTCTTTGGCACTCAGGACGTGAGTCCATGAGAACTTTGTGTTTAACCTGGAGCTACTTGCGGGTATGCTGAAAGTCTGCGTGACCTGAAGACTCCTGGGCAATTTTCTGTTAAGCAAGTGCGGTTCTAAGTGTTAGGATGTAAATGTAATGGATCCTTCTTTCAACCTCAGCTCTCTAACTATAATATGCTTGGGGCTTTTTTTTTTTTATTTACTAATAAGAAGGATAAGCTGCTGTGAAAGGCTAGACATAACAGCTCAGCTGTGCTGCTTAGTTGTCTATGGGAGGGCTTTCTGAGGTGGTAATATGTGGAAAGGTAATTTCGGTGCTTCCTTAAAACAGCTGTGCAACCCTCTGTCTCAGAAAGAAGCTCATCTCCTAGAAGCTCTAACTGGGAATTAACATTTTCTTAGTAATAAGAAATAAAATTAACATTGATTCTTGTCCTTAAAAGCAAACATTTCTTATGCCACAAAATACAGTTTAATATTAAAAGTTCATATTTTTGGTTTTGTTTTTTTTTTCTTGTTTGTTTGGGGGTTTTTTAAGTTTTACTTGTTTGGGAAATCGCTTTCCTTATGATTAACTTCTGTCATCTATTTCTTTAATTCTTTCTGGCCTACCTTATTTCTGTTTCACAGAAATCCTGACAAATCTTGCTCCTAAACTTTCTGGTCTGCTCCTTTTAACTTTTGCTGAATACTCTGCTAGCGAAACTTTGCAACTCCCTTCCCTGTTGGGGGGGGTTTGGTTTTTTTTGAGAAACAAAATAGATAATGAGAGAATATCACAGAAGACTGGAATAAAAAAGCAAAAAAAGGGACTACTGAGAAAAGACTTCCAACTCTCCTGTTTCAGAAAGGTCAGGAAAGTTTGCTTTGAAAGGTTAACTTGATATGCCCTGATCTTTTTTTTTATTGTTATTGCACAGCCCATAGTTGACTGCTTAAATTGTAAAATGCACTGTTACTATGCAAAAGTAGTACTATGCATAGTAGCTAATCAGAATTTAGGCCGTACGGTGCTGTCTTATAACAAATGCCAAGTATTTTTAGTAATATTCTGTAATTATACTTCAGTTCCGAGGCTCTGTAGCCCCTGTGACACTAAGTTACATCATGAAAGCATCTCTGTTGGTGTGAACCAGCATTTTATAATTAATTTAGCAGTGTTCAGTCAGTTGGATTGCTACTTAATTGGTTGACTATTTCTAGCCATATGCAGTTCTTGTTCTCAGAAGTACAGTGCGTATGTGATAACGTACTCTTCTCTTCCAGTGGATGTCAGGATCTCACCATGCAAATCACCCAGGTTTACTTTCTCCACTTTTTTAATGATAGCATGAAACCCATTCCCACTACCCTTTTTCAAAATCAATCCTTGAAATGTTTTAAAATCCTAGGCTGTTTATGTCTCTTGTCTACCATTAAATGATCTTATGTTTTACAAATTGTTCGTCAGAAGATGAGCTTAATTGTATTACAATCGTATTTCTCAGGCACCTACTCACAAGGGAGTGTAAGTAATTTCTCTGTGGTTCAGGGAGTACCTTTGACGATCAGGTTAACTTGGTTAGTAAAAGACATGTAAATTTAGAACCTTCACGTTGGACAGTCTTTTTAAAAACAACTTTGTCTTTGGAGATCAGTAAGTAGATTGTAGGCCTAGCAAGATAGTTATCGGACCAAATTTAGTTTGCTAAAGAGTTGCCCAACGCTTCTCAGTAAAGGGAAGAAAAGACAGTAAGGAAAGGATGGAAGAAGTCAAGGACATTGGGATGTGTGGAAGAAGTTTGTTTGAGCTGATGCTAACAAATATTACAGAAACCCAAGTCTCTTGAGGCTAAGGAAAGGATGGAAGAAGTCAAGGACATTGGGATGTGTGGAAGAAGTTTGTTTGAGCTGATGCTAATGCTAACAAATATTACAGAAACCCAAGAGTCTTGAGGCTCAATGAAGATAAATGATTGAAGTGGATGCCTAGCAATACAGGCTCCCTAGTAAGGAGAGCAGCCCCATCAAACTGCTTTCGTAGAGCAAGGTAGTTGGTGCTGAGGACTTGATGTCCCCAATCTTCTGAGATTCCTTCAGCCTGGCTCCTTTCTAGCCCTCCAGACTGGGTGCTTCTTAGTTGTTGGAGCATGTTGGGTGGACTCTGAGCTTTCCAGTGTAGTTTCATCCAAGAAGAATTCAGTTTGTGTACTCGCAGCCTACTGTGCGATGTAAAAAACCCCAAAAACCAAGCACTGTTAGTGAGGATGCTCTTTAAAGTACCCTCATGACCTG